CCAGGCGGCCCGCCGGCCCGGCCACCGCCCCCCGCGCCCGCCACACGCCCCAAACGGCGCCGAGGACCGCTGCTGCGCCGGCACATTTCCCCTTTGCGGGGGCCTGGCTCTGCGGGGCCCGCGAGCCCCGGTGCGGGAAACCTGTCGTTGCAAAGCTCACCCCTGGAGCTACCTGGGACCCCGTTCCCAGCCCGCTGCGGGGCCCCTCGGCCCCGCGGAGCGGCCGGAAAGCAGCCCCAACTAACACACGCGGCCCCGAGCTGGGCGACTCCCAGCCGGGCTGAGCTGGGACAGGGGGGAGGGGTCGGTCCCCCAGGGTCCAGTCACCTCTCGGGGGTCACCTCTCCACGGAGCCCCCCGTACCCCTACCCCCTCTCTGTCCATGGGGCCCCCAAGGAAACTTTCGCTGGAAGAGTTGGAAGGGCACTTTCAAACTTTGTCCCTTCCCCCTCCTCTGTCGTCTCTCCCCCATCGTGCCCCCCGACCTCTGAGTCGAGGTTCCCTCCTGAGGCTGAACCCCCAGTGCTGCCTGGACTCCCTGAGAGATGAGGGAGGGCCTCTCTGGTGTTCTCTTCTCCTCAAAGACCCCACATTTACCATATATCCTAACCGGGAATTCATTTATATGCCTCCCTCAGCCTGGGAGTTTTGGGGTGTCAGAGGCAGAGCTCGCTTTCTCTCACCCCTGAGGTGGGCCTAGGGGTCCAGTCCCCCTCCCAAGGCCCCTTGAAGACATTGTGTGGTAGAGGGGGCGGGGGGTAGTCCACAATGGAGGAGCTGCCCCAAAGGATCTAACCGGAGCTGGTCCTGGGGCTCCTGGGATGAGGTCTTGAATGCATTGGGGACTTGGGAAAACCGAGCGCAGGGGGAGAGGTCGAAGAGCGGGTCGCGTTCCTTGGATCGTGACAATCCTCGTGAAGTGTGCAGTTCAGGAGCTGTGGCCCGGACCACCGCCATTTTGCTGGGCAGACGCAATGTCTTTGTTAAAATGCATACATCTTTTCCCGTGCTGCTTGGCAGGTGTAGACGAGATGGACAAGGGGCGCTACAGTAGGGAGTCCTAGGGACTCCAGAGACCCCAGACCTCTTGTCTGCCGCGGACCCCCGAGTCACGTGCCGGTCCCTGTTGGCAGCGGCCCTGGTCTGGGATTCCGGGATGCCTGCTCCCTGGGCCCCCTCCCACGGCAAACCCTCGTTTATTTCCTAAGCAGAGAGGCCTGTCACTCTTCACTTAAACAATACCCTGAGAGTAGGGGTTTGTAGCTGGTCGGAATGATAAACGTATCCCCGGTATGGCCCGGGAGCTGTTTACAGACATCGCGGCCTGCGGGGGAGGGGGAAGGAGGAGTTGGGGGTTTAGATGGGGGCACCAGGCCGTCACTGCGGGGGCTGGGGAGAGGGCCTCGGCTGGACTTGATAGCCTTGAGGCCAGGGCAAATTAATCCCCCCACCCCCGGGATGGATTAATCCAGATGATTGGTGGAGGGCAGGGGAGGGGGAGGTCTAAGACTCGATGTCAGATGCCTTCTCCCGGGCTTATCTCGGTGGCACAGGCTGGGAAGGGAAGCGATGAAGGGCCAGGTTAGTTCAAAAGGTCACGGTTCTTATTTCGATGATGTCAATTACCCCGAAGTTTCCTGGTCTGAAAACAAAACATTCTTGGTAGATTTGTTTTCGTTACTTTCAAAGACAATTCTCCCGGTTCCCACTAAAATTTGGATGGGGAAATACGCACCCCATATCCGAGATGATGTTCCATCCTGCGTTCCAGAGACGTGTCGCCAGCCTCCGTCCATGTCTTTTTTTTTTTTTTTCCCTTCTTTCTGATGGTTGGCCTGTATGGGGATCCGAACCCTTGACTTTGGTGGTATCACACCGCACGCTAACCAACTGAGCTAACCGGCCAGCAACCCCCGCCACCCCTCCCTCATGTCTTAGAATAAGGACTGGATAAATGTAACGACACGATGATGAATCATTTTATTTGCATGGCACATTATAGTTTGCAAAGTGCTCTTTGCGCCTGTCTCCCCAGGAGGTAGGCAATGTAATCACTACCTCTGTCACCCCCATTTTAGTAGAGGCCCCGGGATTTGGAAGGATTGGGGGCCGGGAGGGGGGACCCACTGTGAGACTCAGGCTCCCTGCGACCCCGAGCCTTCATTTCATTTTGTAGCCCTCACATCCCTTGTCCCCGCCCATCCCAGAGACCTGTGAATTCTCTCCCGGAACTAAAACCCAGAAATGGGGGGACGGGTCGCCTCGGGTCGCGGGACTTTCCAGCCGGCAGACACCCCTTCTCCTGCCAGGCGGCGAGATTCACCGCTCCTTCCCCTGTTCGGGGGAATTGGAGGGGGTTCCCCGGGGGTTGGGTGCAGAATCCGAGGCCCAGGGGACAGGAGGAGGAAACGCTGCCTCCAGAATGGCTTAGCCTCGCCTCGCGAACACTGCGGGACCGGGGGGCTTCTGGACTCCCGCCCGGCCCCCATCCCCGCGCAGGCCACTCTCGGGTCCCCGCCGAGCGCAGAGCCGTTTTCCAGCCGGCAAACGGCGGGACGGCCCCGCCCCCTTAACACGAGGCCCTGTAAAACCCCGGGAGCCGCAGAGCTGCGGGCGACTGCTCCTGGGAAATGTAGTTCCTGGAGCCGAACCCCGCGCTGCGCCCCCGGCCCGCGACCCTCGGAGCCCCGGAACCGCCGAGCTGTCCCGCGCGTGGGGAGGAGGGTCAGACAGCGGCCCTGCGGTGGCGCTGGGAGGACACAGGCCTTCCCGCCGTCGCTCTCTGAGC